AATCTATACCTCCAACACTTCTCTGATGTGATTCAAATTAAACAATTGATCATAGTTGTGTGGGCATTAAATGTAAGCAAAATTAAGGAGAAATAGCCCCGAAACATTCCAACATCTGAACAGATTTTCTTCCAGAAGCCAAATAATAAATAGTTAACACGGCAAACAGTTAGCATGTAATATAGATTCAGGACACGACATTACAACTTCATTAAAATTGTTTAATACTCGCATAAAAATATCAGGCAGTAACAATCCCTCCACAAAAATATGCTTAAGCAATTCAAAACTTTTTTGGTCCAATTCCAAACACACGAGCAAAACCAGACCCATAATAAACTTTATAAGGCTCTTAAAGCTCCAAGACAAACACAGAGCTCAGGTCTGAGCGTTTGACATAAATCCAGCAGCGTGTCTGAGCCAAACTCAACAATGTCATAACTTAACAGCAGACATGTTCCTATCCTCTCTTCCTGCTGCTGGATTTAGCTCGCTGCCAAAAACTAATCACATAATACCTTTAGAAAGCTTTATTTTCCTGGACATTGGAAGAAACGATGGAGCTTCTCTGAGCCAACGCTATGGAATAATACATTTAAAATGTCTTTGTCAGTGTGAAGTGGATAAACAGATCAGGAAAATAAGTCATCCAAATGGCCTATTAGGTGCTAGGTAGTGGAACTGGTTTTCCTGTTTGGTTAAAAAGACATCTTCTCCTCTGGTTTATACTCTTGTAAAGGAGTTGAAAAGATCAGGAACCGGTATAAGCCTCTGGACACTTATTTCTTAATGTTTGGTCAGTATCATTGGTTAAGTTTCAAAATGATATTTGGCATCAAAGTTTGAAAGGATGCGAATGTAAAAAGTGCAAATGTAAAGAAGAAAAACATGTAAGGAGCAGTGCAGGGTAATTTAAGCACATATATTTATGAGGATAAAGAACTTATGAGCACTGTTGCCTCGCAGCTAGAAGGTCGCCGGTTCGCGGCCCGGTGGGGGCACCAGAATCTTTCTGCGTGGAGTCTCCATGTTCTCCCCGTGCAGCGTGGGTTCTCTCCGGGTTCTCTGGCTTCCTCCCACAATCCAGAAACATGTTGAGGTTAATTGGTGATTCTAAATTGTGCTTGGTTGTCTGTCTCTAAGTGTAGCCCTGTGATAGACTGGTTACCTGTCCAGGTGAACCTGCCTTCACCCTGAGTCAGCTGGCATAGACTCCAGCCCCCCACCACCCTAGTGAGGATTAAGTGATGTACAGATAATGGATGGATGGAAGAACTTGTGAGGAGGGGCAGAATACAACAGGAAAGATCCACATCTTTGATCAGCTCAACAGAGATAAAAAATATTCTGACTGTTCGTCCCAACCTGTAAAGGCAACTCCACAGCGTAACATCATCAAGGTTTTTTTTTCCCCACAAAACATCTGATAGAAATAAGTATTATAAAACTGTTATCTCAGGCTGAGTAGGACTAATCAGCTGATCTTTGATGTGTGAAATTGGTGTAGTGGCACTTTAAGAGATCAGCAGCCAGTATCTGTGTCTTTAGACTTAAGGCCTGGTCCCTCTGTTCTGTTCTGTTCTTCCCTCTGGAGGCTGAGCACGCTGCCTCCTGCATCCTGATGGAAAGTCATATTTCAGGTCTTCAGTCCAACATTTCTGCTTTGTTTCTGTCAAGGTAGAGGTAAACACTGCGAGCACAGGGGCTTTTTCTTTCAAAATAAAGTCATATGAACTAAAATTCACCTCCCAGTACTTAATGACAAAGTTGTGTGTGTTATGATGCTGTAACAGGTGGTACTGTTAGGCCCGGCCTTTCGGGGCTAAAGCGCTGAATGTTTTATGAATAACCCCAGAGCTTTCTTTTAGCTTCTTCTTCTTTTTTCAAGAAAAGAAAAGAAAATTTTCAGCTGGTAGTTAAAAGCTGGCAGCCACAGTTTAGCTCAGTGGTTCAGATGTTTTTGTCATAAGGTGCACCCTTACATACGATCATGTTTCTCGCTGTCTGCTATCAGTCACTTCAAAACAAACTGTGTCTTTGCCTGAGGCCCAGCGGGCTCCGTGATAAACACTGGGCCTTGTTGAGTATGTGTATGAAAACCATCAAATTCTGAATTTGATCCTAAATCATTCCATAATTATAAACACCAAATATATGTGCCGTTTTCATGTTAACACTTTGGGTCACAAAAAGGCGGTGCAGGCCTGCAGGTCGGAGGTCATCCACCTGGAGAACTGGTGCCAGGACAACAACCTCCTGCTGAACGTCAGCAAAACTAAGGAACTGATTGTGGATTTCAGCAGGAGCAGCAGAGGGTCTTCCATCCACTCAGCATCAGTGGGTCTGAGGTGGTAAGAGTGGACAGCTTTAAATACCTCGGTGTGACGATCACACAGGACCTGTCTTGGTCACTTCACATAAAGTCCACTGTGAAGAAGGCCAGACAGCGTCTCTTCCACCTCAGACGCCTGACAGACTTCAAACTCCTGCTCACAATGCTCAGGAGCTTCTACATCTGCACCACTGACAGCATCCTGTGTGGGAGCACCACCACCTGGATGGGCAGCTGCACCGAGCTGGACTTCTTGGTCCTGAGGAGGGCGGTCCGTTCAGCTGAGTGGACCATCAGAACCACCCTCCCCAACCTGCAGGTCAAGGACTGTGAAGATCCTGAAGCAGCCTAGCCATCCTGGAAACTCTCTCTTGTCCCTGCTGCCGTCAGGCCGACGCTGTCGTTGCCTAAAGACTGTAACTGAGAGAATGAGGAAGAGTTTCTTCCCTCAGGCGTCTGTTTGCTCAAATCTGAGCTTTAAAACCGGACTGTGTCATATACATACATACATATGCACCTCATACATCATAACAGTGTTCCATCTGCTTTATTTATTTGATTGTTTATGTGCATGTCTACATGTGTCTATATACTTAAAGTATACATACTTCTTTAACACTTATTTTTATTTTGTTTTATTTTTTATTTTTTTTCATTGTCGACAAAGATCAGATGAGTTATTTATTTAAAAGCTCCGCAGATGTAATACGAGCAACATGCACTGGTGTCCGGGGTGTGTTTCTCGTTGTACTTTGTGTATGACGACAATAAAAGCATTCTATTCCAGTTTCCCCATAACAGTTTTATGTTGAAAGTCTTAACCGGAAGTGGTGTGCAACATTGCTGCTAGCTTGTTAGCTCAGCTCCGGTGTTTGCTGTCAGTCAGCGGAGCGATGCTCATCGTCTGACCGCTGGACCGGAGGGGCAGACTGGGTGTAAAGCAGACTGGATCCCTCAGGAACCAGGTCTTGGTGAGTACAGATGCATACGCGGCTTTAATATCCCGCCGTCAGCCTCCGTGTTCCACCGTCACCGTGTTTACAACCGGAGCTGAACGGAGGCAGGTGAGGGTAGCGGCTGTGGACATGGCTGGAGCCTGTTTTCACTCGGTTTGTCTGCTTAAACCTCAAATGCACACACCTGTTTTCATTTTTTTTTACTTCCGTAAGAGACGGTGGGCTTTAGTGGTTGTCCTGCGGTGGGATTTTGGGCCAGAATCCCACAAACACGATGAACTGGGGTGTGACTGAGAACCACATCCTCCAAAACAACCGACACTTGCACTGTGTGTGTGTGTGTGTGTGTGTGTGTGTGT